CCCAGAAAACAAAGTTCAATCAAGCCTAAAAGGGGAATTTGGAATTAGAAAGAAGGTTAATTTCTTTAAATGTGTCAGTTTTTTCTTCATAATATTTCTGCTTTTCTCGTGAGAAATCCTCCTGGTTGCTCTGACAACTTTATATATTTTTTATTTGCTTTAGTTTCACTCTCATTTATCGAGTGGATCTGGTTTTAAATTATGTTTAAACTTGCTTTAAAAAGTCTCCGATTCCACGCACAGAGACCTGCAGTCACCCTGTCTAATTACAAGTGGTGTTTTCTGTCACGGCTGTCTGTGTAATCATTACACTTAATCACGATCCTGCAGCTTAAAACCACAACCGCCATTGCTGCCGCACAGTCTGTAATAATGCACTCATAAATATATTCACGGCAAATATAATTAGGACGAACGGAGACAGGCAAGGGGAGAGGAGGAGGAGGAGGAGGAGGAGGAGGCGGCGGAGGAGGAGGAGGAGAGAGACGAGAGACGAAGCAAAATGATGTTTTATCAGGGATGAAGTGAAACCAACAGGAGGAAAATGAGCAAAGAAGTAAAGAGAGGATTTAAGGATATTAGTAAAGATGAGGAGAGGTATGATGGACAGAAAAGAGAGGATGAGGGAGAGGAGAGCTTGTTGCTAGAGGAGTTTTACAGCAGATATTTCCAGTTTATAGTCCCACACACATACTGTTTCCCCCCAAATCTGAAGTTTCTGAGTCCTATTTCCCCTCAAACACAAGTGGAAGAGACGAACTGTAAATCCCCTCAACTGAGACAAAAAGAGGAAAATAACAAGTGATGTAAAAAGACTGGAGGAAAATAAAAGATGGAAGATGTGGAAGTCGTCTCAGCAGAGGATACGAGAGGAGGAGGAGGAGGATGAGGAGGATGAGGAGGATGGGGGTCACAGATCTGATTGATTGTGCGTTATCATGAAGTGGAGATTTATTCCAGCGTGTTCCCTCATCTCCTGCGACCTGTCGACCCCCCGCGCTCATTAGCATAGAAACCACATTCCCCCGCTGCTGATTGGACCGGGACGGACAAGACCAGGATGTAAAAGGAGGAAGTGTGTGTGTGTGTGTGTGTGTGTGTGTGTGTGTGTGTGTGTGTGTGTGTGTGTGTGTGTGTGTGTGTGTGTCATCATGATAAGCAGAAGCATTTTCAATCAAAGCAGGTAATTCTTCCTCCTGCTCGCTCGCCCGCCGCCCGCCTCTTGTTGTGTGTGTGTGTGTGTGTGTGTGTGTGTGTGTGTGTTTGTCCATTAGTGCAGAGCCATCTGAATGCCCCCACGCACAAATATTTAGAAAAATGTCCAGATTACGTCCCAAGCCTCTCCGCCCACTCCTCACCCAGCCGCTGACCTCCGAGTGTGAGTCTGAAAGCCAGAACCGCCTGTGGCTGCACACAACTCATTAGTGGGTTTTTTTTTCCTTCAGATTTGTGATAATATAGAAATGTTAGCAGCTCTGTGTTCTTCCTGCAGAGACACTGAATGTTTCTCACAAGGGTTTTCAGATCTGCAACCTCTACGGTTACGGTTATAGAGAGACGGTGGTCGTTGGGAGGAGCTTGGTTTTCCTACGCCGATATTAAGGCTCATATTGTAGAAATGATCTCTAATCTCCGGCCCTACTGAGCACTCGGACATGTTTCTGGTGGAGCTGCATGCACCCTTCAATACACCCGACATCTCCATATGTTTGCGCTCTAAAAGGTTAGTTATGGACAGGGCACTGACTTACACAGGGCTCTCATGTGTATCTCAGCTTTCCAGTCACAATTCATGTAATTCCAACAGTGTTCATGGACCCCGATATGCAGAAATATTCAAATACACTAGAATTACTACAATAAAGTACATGAGATTAGCATAAAGTGTCTGTAAAAGGATCCCTTTGAAAATGGACAGTTTCCAATCTTCTAATCTTTCTGTAACTATGAAGAAGGTTAACGTAAACGACCCGGAGCTGCGATACTTCGATAGACTGATGCTGTATAGGATGTCGTCCAGAATCCAAATGTCAGGACTCTACTGTTGTGATTCGTGTCAGTATTTATCCTTTTTTAACTGAAGACGGAAGGTCTTGAAGTGGTGGTTGATACCTGCTATCTCCATGTGGAGATCCTGACCTGCTGAATCCACTTTAAAAGCTTGTGTCCTGTATTGATTTCACCTGTTAACTCCTCTTCGGTCATGAGGAGGAGGAGGCAGATTAGAGGGATTTGAAGCCTTCGCATGTTGAAACATTGGACTGTAAAAAAGGGGATTTAAGTCAGTGTTGGTGTTAACTGAAGGTCCTACGCGTACTGTGACCTTACAGTGCATTTACATCCATTAAAAGGAAGGTGCTTGTTCTACTTGTTGGATATGAATTGTTAAGCAGAGTTAGGTCTGTGTGGGTGGATGGTCGTCACGTTAATGTTCCCTTCAGGATTTATTGTAATCCTCATCGTCACCTTCAGGACAGAATTTCTATTAGACCAACACTTTGTTCTGTGACCTGCAGATGTACTTTGTGTGTATTGCTAATTATGCTAACACGCTAAACTGAAATGGTGAATATAGTAACCATACCTGCTCACACATTCATTAACATTAGCATTTAACTCGGCCTCGCAGAGATCCCAGCGTGGCTGTAGACTCTTATTTTGAAACAGCTGGGGAGGCAGGATGGCCTGGAGGTGAAAGGGCAACCGAAAAGGTCGCTGGTTCGATTCTGTTTATAGAGACTTGAGTGAAACCTGAAGGTTGAGGTTCAATCGGGTATTTTAATTCTGAAGAATATGCAGTCGCGGATTTAACTGAAATCCCAGACGTTTTCCGTTCTGTGTTTGTTAAACTGCGGATCACGACCCAGACTGAGGTCGGGGGACTCTCTGGAGGGTCGACGCTTCAGAAAGGAAACAGGTTTGTCTCAATTAGTCTCCATCCCAGAGAGAGAAAGCGCTTCCCTCTCATCTGGGTCCCAGGCTGAAAACGCTTGAAAATCCTTGGAATTACCCATAATCCTTTATTTCGGCGAGCGTTTGCCCTTTGCTTTGACCTGCCTCGGAGCAGCTGAAGAGTTTTGTTCAGAAATGAGAAATCTGCTGTTTGAAAAACTTCAGTCTTCCTCCAGCAGGATGATTGATAGCAGGAAGGAAAGATGGAGCCCTCTAAAGGGCCGTGACTGACAGTTACTGCTCACTGCGTTTTATACCCAAAGATTATTTTAATTTTCAAAGAATTCAAAGTAGTTTTATTGGTTTTTAGCTTATTTTATTTATTTGTATTCAAGTGTAAAATTGCTGTTCGTTCTAGTTCTTAAAAAAGGTGTAACACTGGAAATAGGAGGGTAATCTGACTAACGTTGGGTCTCTTGGCTGTGTTGAAATCTTACAACGAATACAAAGACAGACTTTTAGTAATTATATATAGCTCCTCCTGTAGGGGCCTCAACAGTGACCACAGTGATACAAAATACAGATTTTTACATGTTCTTTCATCACAGTACCGACATATAATTGAGTTTACAGCTCAAAAAACATGTTTTAGGGTGGAGTACTTCTTAACATTGCTTCAGTATCAGCGTAGGAAACCCAGTTTTTGATGATCCCTTCAATGGTTGAAGACCAATGGTTAATATTGGTTTCTTTTAACAAAGACAACCATCTTTCTCAAACCTTAACCAAACAGTTTTATGTTCCTTAAAAGTGTTAGTGTCCCCCCAAAAAAGGTTCAGGCTGATTTAAAGCAGTAGGGGGCGCGTTGAGACGTTTTCAACCAACAAAATGTAATTTAATTTGGTAATAATGTGAATATTAACAGCAGCATTGATGTGTTTCACCACAGTACAGTCATATAATCCAGTTTACAGCTCAAAAAACATGCTGAAGTGTGTGGTACCACAAACCCTGAGCATGATAAGTGCCCTTGAGCAGCGTCCGTGAGTCCTGCTAACGGAGAGCGGAGGCGAATGCCTCTCTCGGGTCGCGATCGATAACGTATCAGAAAATAACTGAAGAAACAGTGAGGATACTATGAGTGTGTGTGTGTGTGTGTGTGGGAGGCTGAGGTTGTATAGATTTATTGACAGCATTAAGTTGAAGTGTTGAATAATATGAGTCCAGCTACCTGCTGACACACATTCCTCTATAACTGGATTGTAGTTGTCAGACTGACAGTGAGTGAAACCTGCAGTAACACTGACGGCAGGTTCTCTGGAGCAGCCCTGTTGTGTTGGTGTTGTGGACTTTGTGGATGATCTTCCAGCCGTGTTTGTGTTCGGCTGTGACACCTGCAGCACCGCAGGGTGTCTGGAAGAGTGTCCCAAAATCCACCCGACGCTGTTTAATTCACGTCTGAGCAGGAAAATAAGCAACTTTAACTTTAATATATTACAATTTATTACATGCAGACTTACTTCAGCTTCATTTTTGTTTCTGATTCTCGTATTGCTTTGGTTAAAATGTGAGAATTTCTCTTCCAAATTTAATGGTAGCAGCAGTTATACATATGAAATGAACTTGCCACTGGAACTCCATTGATAAAAACAAGGAATTTTACATAGCAAATAATCATAAAACACAAATACAAAACTCACAAACTACTTCTCTGTTAGTCTTTCCAACAAGCACCAGCTCTGATTTCATGGAAATAATTCCTTAATTCACCGACGTAAATGATAAAAACAGCAGTTTCATCCACAACAACCACTGACACATTATCATGTTGTGAAGAGGTTATTTCAAACATTTCACCTTGAACCTGCCGATTTACATCCAGCAGACACAGAGCAACATGATCGTCCATTTATATGTCATGTTTGTGTCCGCCTGATGAATTTAACTCTCTTTTTGCCCTGTTTTTGGTTTCCACCAACTCCTGAGTGAAATATCAGTTCTCTCTGTATCTCCTAAATGTTTCACTGTGTTCGATGCTGCTGCTGGAAACAGCCTTTAGCCTTTAGCCTTTCTGTTAACGCGTTCTTGTGTTATATGTTTTCTTGCAGCCGGGGCAGGAGACAAGGCGGGCTGGGCGTTCGGTCTGGGCCTGGAGAGACTGGCCATGGTCCTGTACAACATCCCAGACATCCGGCTGTTCTGGAGTCAGGACGAACGCTTCCTCAAACAGTTCAGAGTTCAGCACATCCAGCAGCCCGTCTGCTTCCAGGTACAAAGACCACCCAATGAGCTGCTGTTTGTAGAGCATTTAACCCAATCTCATGGTCTTCCTCCACCGAGGTTTATATTTGAGCTTTGATTTGTTTCTTTTGTCAGATTGTTAAAATAGCATCAAATGACTTTTAATAACTTGAAGGATCCATGTTCTTTGGTTGGATATATCAGAACTTTTTGGACAATTTTAAACACTCTGAATCATGACGACTGCTTGGATTTTGACTTTTATCGGACAAAACCTCATTAGCCGTGTTTCCATCAACTTATCACATTAGAGAAGCGTCATGGAAATGGTAAAATTTGGTAAAACTTCCCTTCCAAAATTTCCCAAAAATAAGAATAAGTTTGGATGTAAGAAACATTTAAGTCACATGACTGATGAGCTGTTTTCTACATCCTAACACACTGTTGCTCTCGTCTTCTGGTTGTCCGACTGGAGAATCGGCGCCACCTGCTGCCTGTTTGGATGAAGCGACTACTGATAATAATATAACTGTGTTTGCATTTGCTGAATTACTCGAAATTCAGTTAAAATCTGCGACACATTTGGAAGGAAACATGACGTCTTCTTTTGTTGATGAGAATCTAGATCACAGTGCAGTGATTTCTCCTTCTTCCCCTCTCTCCTCTTCCTCCTCCTGTTTATTATTCTTTGTGTTCAGTCGTCCATTTGTCTCTCTGCTTGACTGAGTATTCAGCTGAACATTTACACTCAGTAACCTCTGCCTTCAAACACTTCCATCTCCCTCCATCAGCCTCCCACATACTCACTGATTATGTGTGTGTGTGTGTGTGTGTGTGTGTGTGTGTGTGTGTGTGTGTGTGTGTGTGTGTGTGTGTGTGTGACCATTCATCAAATCATCTGCAGTAGAAGTCAGTAACCTGCAGAGGTGGCAAGTAACAAAGTAAAAATACTTAAACTACAGTTCAGACTATTAAGAAGATTATATGTATGAGATTATAAACATTAACATTATATTCTCTATATAAAACATAATATTAAAGGTTATATATGAGATATTAAACATTATATTCTCTATATAAAGACACAGAGTCACATGGTGTCTCTCTCCCTCTGCCTGTGTTGTATCGCAGCCTCTCTGTGGTTTGTTTCCATAGCCGGTCTGCTCCGACTGAAACTGCTGTTTTTATCATCTACGTCGGTGAATTAAGGATTTATTTCCACCAAACCAGAGTTGGTGATTGTTGGAAACACTAACAGAGACGCTTTTAATCAGTTTTATTCTGTTTCTGTCCACTTTGAATGAAGTTAAGATGATCTGAAGGTAAAATGAGTGTTTCTGTCTCTGGAGTCTGGTGGAGAGTGATAGTGATATTACGGCTGTTTGTGGTTAAACTAAAGGTCTATCTCTGTAGGGATCCTTTCCATAATGCTGTCAGACACTGACAATAACAATAAACTGTCAGTTGATGGACTTTAACAGAGCATTTGTCCCCAAGCATTAACGTTAGCTTATGTTAGCGCCCTTAGTGCCCCCAAATATTTTCACGTCTACGTTGGTGAATTAAGGACAGACTAAAGTGAATTTTGTACATATAACCTTTAATTTTACCTCCTCGTTCTCTCATTCTCAGCCGCTCTGTTACTTTCCTGCTCTTGCCCTCTCCCCTGTCGTCTTTTATCCAGCAGTACCTGTGAGTGTGTGTGTGTGTGTGTGTGTGTGTGTGTGTGTGTCTGTGTGTGTGTGTGTGTGTGTGTGTGTTCGCTCTAGCCTCTGAGCCTCATGTATAAAACATGTTGACAGTGGGGGCTCACATCAGCCGGCAGCAGTCACTTCCCCTGACCCCGCCAGCATCACCATCACACACACGGTTCACACAGCGGTTACTCTGTCCCATAAAGGTGGTTTTTGTCCACTCTCGTCTTCACTAATGAAGAACATTTCAAGTGACTGTTGGAGGGCAGAGAGGAGAACGGAGGAGAAGAGAGGGGGAGGGAGGAGGTGGACTGAGAGAGGGAGAAAGGAGGGGATGAGAACCACAGGTAGGATGGAGCAGGTAAAATGGAAACAAAGAATACTGGAAAGGAGAGACGGAGGGAGGAAAGATTGATCAACAAAAACCTGAAGGGATGATGAAGGAGGAGGAGAAAGGAGGAGGAGAGGAGGAAGAATAGAAACTTATTAAAGAGCTTTTGTTGGAAAAGAGACACAGAAGGAAGTTTAAGAAAGAAAGACAACAAGGTTAAAAAGGAAACAAAAGAAAGAAGAGTGAAAAAAGAAATGAACATTTCAATATTTAATAAAAGAATGTGAGATAAATGAAAGAGAAGAAAGGAGAGAAATGTCAATAATTATGATATAAAGGTAAAGATCTGAAGGGATGAAGGGATGAGTGATGGAGTGATGTGGGATGAGTGATAGAGTGATAGAGTGATGGAGGAAGAGGACAGACCCTGTTGTCCAGCTCTCAGTCCTGTTAGTTTTATTGATGAACCCGGTTCCTCCAGAGGGACCAGGGGAGCACGGCTCATCTCCTGCCCAGGGTCAGTGCACCTCTCCTGGGCTGAGACTCTCCACCTCCCCCCCTCGTAAACCCTCCCTGGCCCCCCGGATCCACAGGTAATGAACTGTGACCGCCTGTGTGTGTGTGTGTGTGTGTAAACATGGGAACACAAACACACACACACACACACACACACACACACTGTAACAGCATTATATGGCCAAAAGTATGTAGACACCTGTTTACCTTCATTCCTTTGTTCTTCAGTAAATTTTAGAATAAGAATAATGACTTATTGTGTTTCTATAATCTGAAACATTTCTGCTTTAGGAAGGAAAGAAAGAAAAATATAATATAAAATGAATATTGTCTACTCCCCTCCGTCCTCTACATGCATACACATACACAATATATATTTGTTTAATGGATAAATAAATGAAGACGAAGAAAGAGAAAAGAACTCTTCCTCTCTCTGTTTATTAAAACTTATTTCCAGGATAAAAAACAAGTCAAAGACTCCGTCTGCCGCTGAATAAAACATCACATTTATTCTGTCGTCCTGATTAACTTTTAATGTGTTATTGTCTCCATGTTTTACTCTCTGCTGCTCTTTCTCCCTCTTTCTCTCTCCTTCTCTCTTCTGTCTTTATTTTTTATCTTCGTATTCAGCTGACGTGGTCGTTCGCTGCCGACTTCTTTTTTTTGGTTTGTTTTATTCTGTTTATACGTAACCGAGGCGAGGATTATAGAAATATCAATGAGTCCACTCCAGACCCCAAAATCTGTAACGTGTTCTTTATTAATGGACATTTATTCTTTCTTTTGGTTTAAAATAGTTTTATCAGTAAAAGTAACAGGATGTAAATATTCACATTTTTGCTGCCTTAGTTTGTCTTTTATTTCTCACAATTTTTGGAGTTTCCAGATGGACTTGTTGCTAAAAGAAGCTGACTGTCGCCAGCAGTAAAAACTAAACCCAGCAATAGAAACACTTGAGTATTTTATTCCCTCTCAGCACTCTGGGAGCGGTTGAGAGCTGCTGCATTAGCTAACAGAAGAGGTGTTGATTACTGTGTTTGCTGTGTGTTATCAGTCCCTCAGTAAATACCCCCCGCTCCACAACGACATCTCCTTCTGGCTGCCGGAGAGCGAGGACGGGCGAGAGAGCTTCATAGAGAACGACTTCTACGATCTGGTTCGCTCCATCGGAGGAGACCTGGTGGAGAAAGTGTCACTGGTGGACGAGTTCATGCACCCAAAGTAGGAAAACACACAACACACACACACACACACACACACACACACACACACACACACACACACACACACACACACACACAGTTCCTGCACATTGACTCATATTACTGCCACACAACACAAACACCCTTTAAGTTCCCAAATAGGAGGAATGTCCTCATAATATTACAGATTTATGTCATTAAATACACTAATAAACACATTAAAATGCTCACTAATGTTCACATTCATGAGGAAGGAAATGTGGATATTTTATTATGTTTAATTAAAGATATTTACAGTGTAAAACAATGATCTATAAATCCAGGTGAACTCTGCTATAATACAATAATCAGACTTACATTTACAGCAGAGTGCTGTTATTATTGGATTGTTATTATTTTAATGTGAATGTTAAAAGTTATAGAAGTGTAATAAAAGTCATTATCTGTGAGATTACAGTAATTATTGCTGTTTACACTGATAACAACTGTATTTGGACAGTTTACCAATGCTTATACACTGATAAACAACATTTATTCAACGTCCATCATTATACAACATATCTGTCAGTTAACTAACTAATCCATTACAATTACACAACTAATACTTTTTTTTTATTGTATTAAACTTTTAACAAATAAATATCAGTGAAATAAGTTTTTTTATATGTAATGTTAATGTTATTTTACATCATTTTTGGAATTGTATTAATATTTCAATGTATTTGAATAATATAGTTAATATAAAATATAGTTACATCTAATAATAAGAGTTCACCTGTATTTATAGATCATGGTTTTACAGTGTAAATATATTTAATTAGACATTAAAAAGATAAAAAATACACAACATTTTATGTCAAATTAAAGCTAAAAACTGTATTTTAATTACAGACAATGACTGTGTGTTTATGAGTCAGTTATTTTGTTATTTTACTGTATTGGTACTGCAGGAATATTAGTTTTATTACAGTTTATAAGGAAAGGTTGTAAAAAAAGGCGAAAGGAAATGAAACTAATGGAAGGAAAGACAGTGAAAGAAAAAGAGAGAAAAGAGGGGTAAAGGTCACTGTCGGTTTTTCTGCTAATAACAGACGACTGATGGCAGTGTCATCAGTTTTAATTAACACACACACACACACACAGTCCTATTTGTACAGTGAAAAGTGCCTGTTTACTCTAAATGGCTCTCTCTCTCACACACACACACACACACACACACACACACACACACACACACACACACACACGGAGGAGGCTGTCCTTGGCGTACACCTCCGAGCCTGCGGTTCCTGCTGTTGACATCTCATTTTTTAAGACGTACGTGTGTGTGTGTGTGTGTGTGTGTGTGTGTGTGTGTGTGTGTGTGTGTGTGTGTGTGTGTGTGTGTGTGTGTGTGTGTGTGTGTGTATAAAGGGCAGCAGTGGGAGGTTGGTACCTTATGGCTGAGAACTCCTTTTCACTTTACTGTGACACACACACACACACACACACACTTGCCCGACCTTGCGTTAGTGTGTGTGTGTGTGTGTGTGTGTGTGTGTGTGTGTGTGTGTGTGTGTGTGTGTGTGTGTGCAGCGAGGGGCCTGCAGTGCGTAAAAATGTCCGACACTATTCATCTTTCAGCATTTTAATGTCTTTTAAATAGCGACCTTTTTCCCCACCGAGCTCACACACACACACACACACACACACACTGACAATGCATTAATATACACTGACTGCTGATATTAGAGCTAATGGAGGGAGGAAGGGAGGGAGGGAGAGACGCTGGCAGATAAAGACAGACAGTAATAGACAGATTGAGACTTTGGGCTCAATAACATGAGAAATAAACAAACACTTTTGACCGACTGCGACCGGTCGGGTCAGTTTGACCTTGGAGGGAACAGATGACGTTCGATCAATCGGTTTTCTTTAATAAAATAATAATAATAAAATAAATAAATAAACCAGGTTCTTTAAAGCGGAGTTGGACGAGGGACAATATCAGTGTCAGTTTGTATCTTCACTGCTTTACTTTACTTTCTGACGGGGAACCAAAGCGTTTAGATCAACCAGACTCCATTGACAAAAACAGTCATTTTATGTCACATACACAGGAGTCCTTTGGTCCACGCTGCCTGGATCTGTTTGTATGTTTGTGTTATTGTGTGAACTTTGGTGTTTTAACATGTTAGTTTGGATCCGTACTGATGTTAGTTTGCTGCGGATTGAGGCAGCGGTGGAACCAGCAACTTTACTGCTTTTGTAAATGGAGTCTGGTGAAGAGAGCATGAGTATGAGGTATTTATCCATAGTAAATAAACAAAAACAATATCAGTTTGTGTATTTAGGATATTTAACCACTTTACTTTGCCATCTGATCCCCCTTTATGATGAAAAACAGCAGCATTTATATCAATCTGTGCTCTCTTTATAACCACCAGACTCCTTTGACAAAAACAGTGATTTTATGTCACAGAACAGAGGAGTTGCTGGTTCCCCGCCGCCTCGATCCGCAGCAGCTAATATCAATTCAGATCCAGACTAACATGTTATAACACAAAAATCACACAATAATACAAACATACAAACAGACTGAGGCAGCGTTGAACCAGCAACCCTCCTGTCATTCCTGAGGTTAAATCACTGTTTTTGTCAAAGGAGTCTGGTGGCGTTTTACCAGCTGGGTGCGGAGGCTGGACCAGGACTGTGGAGGCTGTTAGAGCCTCAATTACAGCCTTGCACAAAATACCTGCAATGCACCTTTTTACTCCCCCTTTCTGTCTCCCACACACTGTCATCTTCTCTCTCTCTCACACACACACACACACACACACACACACACACACTTACATTGTTCTCATTACAGTGTAATGATAATGATGGAGAGAGGAAGTTTGGTTAATTACAGTTATCAGTTCCTAAATTAGTGGCGCATAAAGTACCTGCATTGCACCTTTTTCTTCCCAAACCTCCCTCTCTCACCCTCTCTTAACTTCTCCCACCTTCAAAATAAAATACAGAAGCTCTTTATTTAACTCTATATCCAACAAATACAGAACAGCTGATAAACAATGAACACAACAACTGCAGGAAGTTAAGTTTTGTAAGTTAAAAACATTCTTGATTCGGTACTTTTTACTAGTTTTATTTTCACAATACAAATAAATATTTCAAAATTACTAAAACTATTTGATCAAGAATGTCTTTGTTACTTACAATTTGAATACATTTCAACCATTTTTGAAGTTAAATGAACTTATCTGTTTGTTTTTTTAACTCTAAAAATAAGTTTTCTATAGTTTTCTTCACATAAATAAATAAAATGTTGAGATAAAGACCGACTGTGTGTATATTCTTTAAGTCTGAGAGGAAGGTTCGTCCCCAGTAAAGACAGGATGAGTTCAGTGATTTAATAATAAAACGACATTAGAAGTTTAACAGTAATGAGCTTTTATTCAGTTTCTAAAAGACAACCTGAACATTAATTCCCCGTTGACTGATCCACCCTTTCTCTCTGATAGATTGTTGCTCTGTGTCTCCTGTCATTACTCAGCATATTAAATTCTGCTCAGAAACCCCGACTGCATCCAGAAAGCTGAGACAGTTTGTTCCCGTCAGAAACATAAACCAGCATCAGACCCCACAAACAGTAACCGCTGTCTGAAGCCCCGGCACACGATTGTCTTTTAAAAACTGTGATTATTGATTGATGAGCTGATGGACAATATAGGTTTGTCCCACAGAGGAGCTTCAACTTTACTACAGAGAGCCGCAGACGTTGATCAGTCTGAAGCTTAACACACTTTACACAGCTTTAATACCAAAGTTTACACAGGAAACAACCTTTAAAACATTTCTTTAATGTAAAATTCACCAGTTTTTATTCGTTTGTTTTGTGTTTCATGAAAACAAAACATGTCAGAGCCAATATTTTACTACACTGAACTTATAAATATTGTCTCTTCTGGCAGGTTTTAGCATGTTAATGTTGGAAACTTTATGTTTTTAAACATAAAATGAGAGACCAATAGAGCACAAAGGAAAATCACCATAAACCAGAGGGAGCTAATGCTAATGTATTTACAGTATTTATTAAATATGAACACTGTAAACAAGTTCAACAAATCCCAGTGAATTTATTGACACTTTAAGAACTTTTCTGCAAATGTGTGATGTTACACTGGGTTGGAGTAAAGGAACTAAAGGTTCAGTCTCCTCGCTGCTTGTTCTGATTCACAATCAATACTGCTGTTTAACAGATTATAATCAATACTGCTGTTTAACAGATTATAATCAATACTGCTGTTCACATATAGAGATTATAATCATTAAATATCATAAAGTTATGACGACTAGGAGAATCTTTAGTCGGCTCTACTTCCTCGTTTACACTTAAAGTCACTGGAACAAGTTTGTTATTTTCTTTTCATTAAACATCTTTATCTTAAATTAAGTTTATTAATGACATTTTTTAAAGGATTTGTTGTTTAATTTTTTACAAGATGGTGTTACTTCATTTGATATTAATGATCCTAATTTCATTTATTTAATGAGTTAGAATCAAATAAAGGGTATGAACAGTAGAACAGATGAGGATCTGCGGCAGTGTTGCTGTATGTGAGCATAAAACAGGAAGTCCAGACGATTCTTTCAAGTGCTGTTTATCTCCAACGAGTACAATCTCCAGCGTGGATGTGTGCTGATCTCCAAACAGACCATAATGTGCATTACGGCTGTAAATTGATCTAAAACCCACTAAAGCTGCCGGAAATTGCAGCCTCTTAAATATATTTTCTTCTCCGAAGTACTTCTGAAGTTAATCGAATGATGGAGGGATGGAAAGAGGGCGAGGAGAGGGAAAACAAAGTGCCCCTCTCTCTCCCCCTCTCCCCAGTCTGCTGGTAGTCTCTCGCCCTCTCTGCCGCTCCATAAACATCTCGTGTAGTAGCAAATCAAAGCTGATGGCTCGCTATGATTCCCACAAATCTGCATTTATTGGTCGGTAACGCTGTCAGCCGCGACTGGGCCCGCGCT